TATAATACAAACTGTTTCATCTTGTCTTAACATCTTATATCAATTTTAAGATTTTACCTTCTGGTATACCAGAAAATAAATATAATTTAGTGTAAAATAAATGAATAATACAGTTTCATAAACTACAAACAATCATTTTTTTGGATTTTCCTCAGTTCATCGTTAACATTAACACTGATTTTGAGGTCGATTTGAGGTTACTATTTTGAAAGTAGTATTAAAAGTTACAACAGAGATTAAAAAGAATTAAAAAGAGATTCATGATTATACCTATTTAGTGATGTTATAAATAAATTCAGTTTACATTCGCGTTGATTAATGTATATTACTGATTTTGACACTTGCCTAATTTACATAAACCAATAATTATCATGGCACGTTTTCCTGTAGCTTTGCTCAAAAATATTCCAGAACGATGACAATAATAAATACTTGTGGCTACAGTTTTATAATTGTTAAATCTTATCCCCCTTTGTTTAACAAACCGCGACGAAGAACTTACCTCCTCAATGGATTTCCATTCTTCAAACTCTATACAAAATTATGAAAAATCAAAATATTGATTCCATAAATAAGTTAAGGAGTGAAAAATTCAAATAGTATTGTTAGCTCCACCGGTGGCAACACTGGTGCGGGCCGGCCGCTCCTGTCGGCTCGACGGCGCTCGCCGGCTACCTCGTCCTGTCTTTCGCGAACCGCGGTGTGCGACGCTTGGCACCCGACGAACGATCGCCGCCGACTGCCGTTGTTTTATATTATTTGTTTAACTAGCTTTGTTCTAAAATATATGAGAAGTGTTATAACTATTAAACCAACCCGTGTAATATGTTTATTTGATCCTGACCTCCGATCCTATCAGTATATTTACCCTGAAACGAAACAAAATTCATATTAATTATATCTAATTAAATATCTGCATCTATCAGTTGTCTTAAGATTTAATGGTGCGTCCTGTGTAACTTTGTATGCCTAATTAAATTGTATTTTTTACAAAATTTATGATTACAATGCGCGCACTCAAACATATTTGAATAAAACAAAATTTCAAAAACTGAAAAAAGTTTTGCGATTTGAAAATTTTTGACGATTATGATAATCGATAAGAAATACGATATGGTAATTGATAAGGTATTTGCTCTTGTGCTGTCTTTAGACCTTGGAGTAATATTGCTCTAGACCACGGTTATAAAGAACAGGTTAAGCATTGCGCGCTGTATCAGAACTAGTTACGCTCCGCGTAGTTCATAAAACCGCCGAGCGCTGCTAGTCAGTACTGTTAGTTTTTTATTATTCCCAATAGAAAAGAACGTTTTATGGCTTTTATGCTTGCAAGTTGCAGTTCAGTCTTGTAAAATTGTTAAGTATTCGAATAAATTTAATAATATGAATATGTATTTAAATACTTTTTTTTATTCGAATACCATTTTAAATGCTTTCTGAAAAAATTATTGAATACGTATTCCGAATACAATACTAAAAAAGTATTCTTTACATCATGAGCGTAACTTGTAAATAATTACCTTTACCTTTTGTTGTATAATAATTAATAGTATAAGATGATCAATATTACTATACTCTATTCGCCGTAATGCCACTGGCGCGCATGCATACTGAGCCGCCGAAACGTTCAGACCCCCCATGTCGGAGACAGGTGGCTTGTGATTGGTCAGTGGTGTTCGGCAATCGGCGGTGTTCGTCGTAGTAGTCAGCTGCCGCCGTGCATACAGAATGTTATACAAAATAATTGATACGAATTATAGCAATATAATAGCGCGCGTTCGCGGAGATAGTGTCGATGCGTCGTGAAAATAATCAAATCACTACGTATACGCCAGGTGCGGTGGTAACGATAAACACTAGCGCCCCGACGACGCGGTGGCCTGCGCAGCTATGACCGGTTTTCGTCGAGCAAGTGGGTCAACTTATGGCGAATAGAGTATAAGTAATGAAATAAATCAACCATAAATAAACAAACTTAAATACATAAAAACATAGACATTTTTATATTTCATAACTTCTAAACAAAATGTATCATAATTAGGTAGATATATACAATTAAGTTTTTATTTTATACTAAAAATAATAACAAATTTATATAAATAATTGTAGTCTTCTGTCTCTTTGGGTTGATTCTGCACTAAATTGATCAATAATTTTATCAACATTTATTGGATACAATTTTTCTATATTTAATATAGCTATATTAGTTTGTCTTTCTTGACCAATAGTATTTCTTGTGAATGTCTTGAGACGACGACGTAAAGATGAAAAAGAACGCTCACTAGAAGCAGAACACATGGGAATCGATAAATATATTTTAAAAATCATATTCATATTTTCAAATGATATCATGATATCAAATAATTCATATCTATATATTATAATATAAAATTATTCATTATTTATTATCTAACATTGTTATTTGTTAGATAAGCTAAAATTGAAAATTAAGATATAAAAAAAAACCGTTAAGGAATAGCTATAACCAGCTGTTTTGTTCTTATTTTAAAACAAGGTAGTAGGTATGTTAAATAACAGGGGGCATTACCCCTCCTAATTTATTCTAGGGGACAATGGCCCCCCTTGGCCACCCAAGTTAACGCCTATGTTTACATGACTGGGCCAAGGTTGCAAATCGTATAGTAAAGTATGCGTTTAATTCCTCATCTTTTGGAAACAAAAAATAAGAAACTTTTTCTGGATTTGACCTGTAACCGCATTAACAATAAATAACACAGCACATGGACGGCATGATGTTGGAAAAAATTATAAATTGTAAATTTTATAATAAAGCCTTAAATGTATTAGCAAATTAGCAAATGTCAAATAGCTATTTTTTTTATCGTAGATACTATAAAATAGATATTAGATAGACATAATGCATCATAAAACTCACTTATTATGAGATAGCCCGTTTGACTAGCAGCGCCAACGTAGTGTACCTATTATGACAACTACGAGAACCATAACTAGTTGTGCCCGGGCGCATATAAGCAAAGTGTACATTGTTAGAGAACCCAATGAAAATACTGTTCTACGATTGGCTCTAATCCCAATGAGATTATCAATTATCTGTTATCAGTTATCAAATTCTGTTCTGAATTTTGAATATTTTAAAGACATTTTAACTTTTAATACTTTAGAATACCTTGGACCGAAGTGGTATTTTCATATTCGACTGTTGAAATATATTTCAAATTTATAAAATAAAACCAAAATGATTAGAGTACTTAATATTTGAACATTTGAAATCCAAAAAATAAGAAGTTTAGTATTTAGGACAATTAAGGTAGTCAAATAATTTTAAAAACTACCTATTATTTACAAATTACAACACTGCAATTAGGTACTTATAAGTTAGTTATCGAATTATAGCCTGTAAGATATTTTAAACTTATATTATTTTTATTTATCATTCTATATTAAATTTAGAATTATTTTAAGACGATGGAGTATTAGTATCTCCATTATTTGAACTTCTGGCTCCAGGACAATTTTCACTATAATGTATTTTCATTCTTGCTACTAAAGCTGACATTTGTGTTTGGCATTTAACACACTTAACTTTCATTGATTGGGAATTTGTCTTTACTTCAGTAAAATATTTCCAAATGGCATCTTTTTTTCTTCCGGTAAACATAATTGGTTAGGCTTAGGTATTTTAATATTTAGGTAGGTAAAGATTAAAGAATCAAACTTAGACACTTGAAAGTAGAAAGTTAAAACTACATAGCCACATGTGTATAAAAAAAAAAAACGATAAATTAATTATAAGGATTTATGATTATGATAAAACGATCACTGAGAGTCGAGAGATATATAATAACATATCGTAATTCGTAACGTTACGATAAACGTTTTCATATTATGTAACCTTGGGTCTAACATCATGTTAATCAGTTGGTGGCTTGGTGTGTGGAATATTTTTCGGAGGTTCAGAATTCAGAGTTCAGTTCAGATCACGGTTTAAGATATATCTAAAACCTAAAAACTAAGAACTAAGATATATCTATATCTTAACCCTTTCAGACCTGACTATTTTGTGTAATATTATAAAAAACTTTTTTTATAAATTAAATCCACGAAAAATTTAATCCAGGTTTGAAAAAAATCGGACAAATATTGAAAGACTTACGGATGGGTACACCATAGTGTACCTTGGGATTTAGTGGAAAGAAAAATATTTTTTGATTTTCACATAACAAAAAAACGAACCTCGTTTATTAAAAAAACTTAAAATAAAAAAAAACAATATTACATTTTCCTTTAAGTAAAACAAACTCATAAATAATAAAAAATAAAATATCTCTTAAAAAATAAAAAATAAAAAACGAATCACGTTCATTAAAATATTAAAATATAAAAACAAACCTTGTTTATTAAATATTTAAAAATAAAAATAACAAAAACAATTCATAGTAGGTAAAATTACAAGTCATGTTTAAAAAAAAATTGAAATTAAAACCATAATAGATATTACTCTGCATGATATTGCTCAAAACAATTACTTATTTTATCTAAGCATAAATGACGGTCACACTTCTTACAATAATAATGTGTTCTTCTTGTACACTTTTCGTTTTTACACTTGGTAGCATTTTTGAGATTATCAAAACCGGGTATGTGGTGTAATCCGTCAAAACGACATTCTTTAGTTGGTTGTACAGAGTCTACTTTGTTTTTCTTCAACGGTGGCACTGGAATTGGTAGCTGCTCTCCTGATGGATGTCCTCTTCTTTTAGGGGTGATGGGTTTTCCGACTAAAATTAAATTTTCAGCTAATTCCATTCGAAAATCCATTAAATCCATTATTTTTCTTTTTGGTACTTTTAAAATTTCCGCTTCTTTTTTATATTGGATCCAACAATTAGAAATCGCCATATCGAATGCATGCATAATCATTCTTAGAGTCCATTTTCTAGACCTTATAAATATTCGATAATAACTTATAAGTTGATCTAATTTATCAACACCACCCATCGATTTATTATACAACCTCACTATTTCGGGCCTTTCAATATCAACAAACCGTTTTTTTTTTTGTCCCAACGAGTTACACGGTCTACTTCACCAGAGGCTGAGAAATTTGACCCTAAATTTACTGCTTTATTGTCGAACCATTTTACAATGCCAATATTACAGCCAGGTACATCAGTTGATACCTCGAATGTGGTTCCTCTGCCCAGTTTACGCATTTCTTTGTCACTCAACAATGGTGGGTTAGCAAACCAATTTGTTCGAATTGTCCCAGCAGCATAAATTTGAAGTTGTTGTAATCTTTCAAATAAGCCAAACGAAGAAAAAAAATTACCCAAAAACAAAAAATATCGATTTGGCTTCACGTTTTGCGTAAGATACAATACAACACTAGCTCCAGAACCAACTGTTTTTATTAAGTCTTGGTCCAATTCATAATACCCTTGAAACGGCAAAATATTATAAATCGTCCCACTTTTGACACATAATAGAAAAACTTTTACTCCCCATTTAATAGGTTTTCCCTTCATATATTGTTTTATAGATAGTTGCCCTTTGAAGGGAACCATCTGCTCGTCGACACACAAGTTTCTTTCGATTGGTAGACAATTACATTTTTTTTGGAGAGCAGTATACAACGACCTGACTTTTATAAATTTGTCTTTGTTTCCATTAGGAATTTCATTGTTGTCGACGATATGTAAATTATTACGCAAAGAAAAAAACCTGCCTCTGGTCATATTTTGAGCAACTAAATTTACTTCAAAATGTTTTTGCCGATACAAACGTACACGTGGATATTTTAAATTACTCATTATGATATGAATACCGATTAAACGTTTCACTTCGTGCATATCAGTAGGTTTAAATCTAGTAATACATTTTTGAATCACATATAGATTAGTATGATATGCCATGTTTTCGAAAACATCATCATCAAAATACTCAGAAAAATATTGTAAAGGTGATTTTAATTCTAATATATTATTATTTTGTTCTACGCCATCTAATTTGAGAGTAGGCTGATTAAAAGGTTTTTGAGCCCACCTAACATTACGTTTACTTGTTAAAGTTAATGGTGGTGGTATCCATTCCTCGTCATGCACAATTAAACAATTTTCATTTTCATTATCAAAATTATCTAATAAATTTTCAAACTGCAAATGGAAAATCAATGTCTTCGGTTTCACTTCTCGGGCTTCCAATTTCCGATATGTTTCCATCGCCTAATAATTCTAAAATTTCTTCGTCACGAAGCATATTATTTTTATAATAATATCAGTAATATTATTGGAATATATAAAATATAAAATACAGTTCGCAACAAAATAATAAAGTAAAAATGTCGTGCAGATTATCACCAGCGGCTGTTATCAAAAAAATACGCGTGCGCAATAAAATTAACAGTATTATACCATAAGGCACGAAGACCCAAGGTACACCATGGTGTGCCTATATTCAAACAGCTGTCAATAAGTAAATAATATTATTTAATACTTACAAACAGTTTTAATCACAGTGTTACCAAAATTTCTTACCGGGAAAAAAAATTAATATGTTTCTATAATTATTTCTTGGAAAAAATATGATATAAACACTCAACATTTCGTTATCAGACTTTTATCTAAATTCTAGTGGTATTAGTGGAGGAAAAACCGTCTCAACACTAACAACCAACGATTCTGACAGACCAGAAGGTTTTAAAAAAATAAAAAAACAAGTTTGTTGCGATACCAGGTTGTAAAACCGAAATTTATTGTTCGGCAAACAAAACAAAAACAATCTATTTAACAAAGTAAAAAAAATAGTAAATTAAAGAACAATGCAACCCGCGCGGTGAGTTTCGGCGTGTTTTTTAAACAAGCCGCGAATCGTGGCGATAGCCGTAGACAAATCGGTTAGGGGCACGGACTTGTGCGAATACCGGTCACGAAAAAAGAAGTGAGTCGTCACGGCGAGCGATGGTGGCTTCGAGCCCGTAACGGCGAAAAAGCTATCGCGCGCAGCGGGAGAAAAGCGTACGAGAAGTCGTCGCGGGCGACGTGACAAAGAGAATACAAATACAAGTAAAATAAGTTACAATAATTCACACAGTGAATAATACAAGGAACA